GTTCTCCGAGAGTTTCATATAAGGTTGCCTTGTAGCGGTCGAAAGACAGGCAAAAACACGAAAATAAATTTCTTCGATTTTTAATATGCTTTATACCCGTTCTCCAAGAGTTTCATATAAGGTTGCCTTGATGAATGGTGCATTTTGCCAATACTGTGTGTTTTTTTGTACAAAAGAAGCCGGCAAAGGCAAAATAGCGCCGAAATCACTGGTTACTCTCCCGTTCCAGAGATGGAAAGACGCTAAAGAAACTTTTCGGAGCCATAGTGACCTACAATATCATAAAAATTCAGTTGTTTTCGGCGAAAATTTCATGGATGTGCAAAATAAAAAAGTTGTTAGCATAAGTGAACGAATTGATACAGTTAGGGCCGTAGAAGTCAAACTAAATCGCCAAATATTGTCTTCAATTGTTGAAACTATTCTTTTTATTGGCCGTCAAGAAATAGGTAGCAGAGGGCATAGAGATTCAGGTGCAATATCAATTGAAACGCCAGTAGAAAACGATGGAAACTTCAGATCATTGCTGCGGTTTAGAATGAATGCAGGTGATGAGATTTTGAAAAAACACTTGCAAATGTCGAAATTGCGTTACACCAGCCCAAAAGTACAAAATGAAATAATACAGATAGCTGGAAATATTATTCTTGACAAAATTGTTGCAAAGATTAACAAATCGAAATACTTCAGTGTTCTTGCGGATGAGACCACGGATATAAGTGGTGTGGAACAGTTTTCTATTTGTGCACGATATGTAGATAAAGTCAATGATAAAATGGTTTTGAGAGAAGCTTTCCTTAAATTTGTGGCCGTCCATGACGTTACTGGACTTGGATTGAGCAACACTCTAATCGACAGCTTGAAAGACATGAAGTTGAATATGTCATTTTTACGTGGCCAAGGATATGATGGCGCGAAAGCAATGAATGGTAGATTTCAAGGTGTTGCTACTAGAGTTGCACAACAATATCCGAATGCTCCTTACGTCCACTGCATAAATCATTGCTTGAATTTGGCTGTAGGAGACGCGTGCAAACTTTCTGTTATTCGAAACACTCTTGGAACAATAAGAGAAATTATTAATTTTTTTCGGAAGTCGGCACAACGGCAAGACAAATTGAATGAAGCCATATGTGAAATTAATGATGATATTAAAAAAAAGCGTCTCGTTAAATATTGCGAGACAAGATGGGTAGAACGTCTCGATGCAGTGATAACATTCAAAGAATTTGTTTCTCCAATTATTGATGCTCTCTATAAAATTCAAGAGACTGCAAATGCTGAAACTGCTCAGAAAGCATTTATGTTCCAGCAATCAATTCAAAATTCAAGCTTTATCATAGCAATGCTTGCTATTCACGAGCTGTTCTCGTTTACTCAGCCACTATCCGTATGTTTGCAAGCCAAAAACAACGATTTGGCATCGGCAATAGAAATGGCCGATAATCTCAGCCACATGGTGAAAGAAATGCGGGAAAACTCCAAAACAAAATTTAACGAAATTTTTGTAAATGCTTCCGAACTGGCAAAAGAAATCGGAAAAGAAATAACAGTTCCAAGAGTAGTTGGGCGTCAACGTTACAGAGAAAATTACGATTGTGACTCTCCTGAAGATTACTACCGCATTTCAGTGTTTATTCCATTTGTTGAACATTTTATGTTATGAGTAAATGGTGCAACGCAAGTGACAACCCATCTAATTTTATCGATGCTCTGAATCATTGCAATGAATCTGTGTTTCCGAATGTGTTCCAAGTATTGCAAATTTGTGCTACTCTTCCATGTACAGTTGCAACTGCTGAGCGAACCTTCTCAATGCTCAAGCGTGTCAAACCATACTTGCACAATGCGATAGGCGATGAAAGGTTGAATGGTTTGGCAAGTATAGCAATTCATAGGGACATAGAAGTAAATGCCGAAGAAATCATAGATAAGTTCAATGAAAAAGATAGAAGAATTTTATTGTGAAGATCTCTTCACTCAGTCGAATAATGATAATAATGTGATAGTAATTTAAATTATATTCATTTTGTTTTTTGATTCAATAAAAATATAACAAAAATACACACGTATATATATATATATGTAATATAACATTTTTTTGTTTTTCTGGAAAACCCCCCCCCCCCAAAAAAAAATCGTAGTTACGCCACTGACCACTACATAGGATACACACACAATAACGCATACAGCTGGAGGCCCCATGACCATACATACAGCATCGATAACACTGTATGGGTCTGTTGTTCGACGGTTTGTATGGTTGCCATTTGATACGATGATGGAATACCGATTTGATGTCGTTTAGCGTTTTCATGTTCACGTTTTGTTTGTTGAAATGACATTAATACAGTTTGTTCGACGAATTGGTTTTGAACATCACGATTTTCGTAACATCGATGCTATGCTCATTCTTTAGGCTGTCTGCGACTTCGGGCAGACCGGAGAGAATCGCTTTGAATACTTTTATTTCGTTGTCTGGGTGAGAGAAGAAATTTATATTTTTCTCTGCCAGTGCGTCTACGATTTTTTTCTTTTCTTCGGGTGTTCTCGGAAATATTTTTTCACCAATACTAACGATTTTGACGTCAGCGTCCAATCCGAGATCGTTGACAAATTGTTGTGTGTGTATGTTAGTGTCGGTCACGACAATTGGCGCAATTTTGCTTGCGGTCGGCGCTACATCGGTGATGTTTTGATCTTCTTCGGTGAATATGTTGAAACGATTGCTTAAAGGCACTTTAATTTGATTTAAAAACTGGATGTTTCTTCTTTTCGCAGTCGCTGGACCTTTCTTAGAATTGTTTTGATTGTTTTTCGAATTATTTGATTCGTTTTTGTTTTTTGTTTTCGGCGAACGGCGCCGCTTATTTTTATTATTAACCATTGTTTATGAACTAATTAACTAGCGTATATCACAATAGCGCAGTGGCACGTCTGTCTCTGTCGGCTGACGCCACATAACTGACTAGGGGAGCTACCTCAAATTTGAGTAATTGGATAATTTTACGTTAGAAAACTCCCATTTATTTTCGAAAATAATGGGGGGCTGTGAACAATAAAACACCCATTTTGTTGTATTTTGGTCTCAAATCGACTTTGTCATCGAAAAAACCACTCAAAATGGAGATTTTACATATAAAACGCTGAATTGAGCCAAAAATGGTAAGCAAATTGGTATATTTTCATTTGTTTCGCTGGGAAATTAAAGCCATTCACGATTGAATGCAGAATGGGGAATTTTTGATACAAAAAAGATCATATACCTTGTCGGTTTAGATAGACTTTTATATAATATTATAACACAACACAAACACAAAC